TATGGAGAGTTACGACAGAACCATTCAAACTAGGAAACCAATTATTGCCTCCCACCTCAGGAGCCTGCTTGAAGGTTTCAATAAGTACTTCCTGAATAATGACTGAAAAAATACCTTTTTATGCTGACATACATGAAAAAATGCAGAGCATGACTACTAAGAGCTGAGAGTGATCTCCACGTGGCCGTTTCTAACATGAAGCCAAGAATGCAGCTGCTCTGTTTAAACAAGCAGGATCAGCCGTCACTTTAAATAGTTACAGAAAAACATCTCTGCTTTGGACAGGAAGTTATTTTTCAGGTTTAAGCTCCCAGAAAAAAAGATGTTTAAAATTAAACATGGGCTGTTTTCTAGTGTGATTTGTTAAAGTTTATCCCATGCTGCTATTGTTTTACTTCATTGAAAAGGAAATAAAGTTTGTGTCATTTGTTGCCATTTTAACAGCCAAATGATAGGATGTAGCGACCATTGTCAGTCTGGGTGGGAAGTTAGCATCTTGATGCAGCTTTAAGGTTTTCAAAGAGTCCCAATGTGTTTCAAAATAAGACAATAAAGAGACTAAAGGCTAAAATGAGTTAAGGCTTGTCTGATTATATAAATACAACACATAAGGCTATTAATCAGATGGGGGGTCGAGAATCACTGACTTAGAGGAGGGCCCCTGATCAAAGTAATGCTACTGTACTGTTATGTACTTGATGTAATGCACTGTAATGTTATTAGAATAAACAAATATTCTACATCTGACCTCAATATCTGTAGTTTGCAGAGGGTAGACTGGAGAAACCCACTGAGCTCCTTCATTCCAGGGTCCAAGTCGATTCTTATCAGGGCCAGTTCTGTCAGATGGGATGGATTAGACTTCAGTGCTGAGCCCAGAGAAGCACAGCTGATCTCTGACAAACTGCAGTCCCTCAATCTGAATAAAGAATAAAAGATTTTAGCTGAATTCAACAGGATGCAGAATAAAAGTTTCCATGAAAACATTCCAGCAGATTATGTGATTCCGGCACATGATAAACAGTACTCCAAGGACCATTGGTTATTTTCCTCTCTGACACTTTGCTGGCCCAATCATACAGCATCACTCAACACATTCTCTCTTTGGGCAGGGTCACTGAATATAGTACAACACCAGTACGCAGCTGCTACCATGCTGAGATGGAGATAAAGCCCAGAGGAGTCGCTAGAAACTACGGGAACAAAATACTCTATTCCAACGGCTCCAAAGGTGGAAAATTACAGTAAGGTTTGCAGGACAGGGCCTTCACTTACTCAAATACTTTAACAGGTTGATTTTACAGGATAGAGGCCCTTTAAATAAAAAAAAACTCCTAACAACTATTTTATTTGGAGCTCCAAGCTGAACAGAATAAATGCAGATTTAACCAGGTGATCTTCTTACCCTCCTCATATTTCTCACTTCATGCTGTTCTTCTAAGTGACTGTAAATAAACTCCCACTTTCTCTGATCAGGAAGCTGATGTGAGGCAGAGCGCCATGATTTCAATTTAAAGTTGACAGGAAGTGGCTCTTTTAGCAGCTAATCAGCACAGAGCAGCAACTTTTCTTTTCTAGCTGCTGTCTAAGTGGTG